CGTAGAACATAGTAAAGGATTCGAAACGAGGTACAACTCAACATATTTACGGTTAACTATATCCCAGTCTTAACCTGTCCACAAGACGGGTAACGAATGACGTATCCGATAGTTACTTAATGTTCAACAAAAGCTTCAAAAGTTTGCATCGTTTTCTTGTTCAGCAATCGAGAGTTTGTTATACAGCATACATTTACGTCCATAGAAAAACACACAATACAATACAATAGTGGCTGACGATCCGGCAGTATTGCCTTCTTCAGAGCCTGGAAGGGTATACTGATATACAATCTACTAGGCCAAACCTTTCAATAACACTTACAAAAAGACAAAAAGCTCTATGGTAATTACATAACAGCTTCTCGAAAAACCCACCACTTTTTTCGTGACTTCCAATGAGGAAGTTTAGAACAGTTGATTATAGTCGCATGTGGTTGACGACTGCACCATCCCACATCAGAAATTGATGCGAACGTACGGGGTCAGGTCGCGTACCTCTGGGTACCTCTGGGTATTCCTGCTATTCATTGTAGGGTTCTTGGCATTTATCCAAAAAGCCTCAAGAAGTTTTCGCGCTGGTGTTTTAGTTTCCTGTGCAAGGATATTGACTTTTACTTCAAAATCGTCTCCGCCATGCTTTTGTATCCTATGCGTGCCTAGTGGGGTACTTTGCCTTAGTTTTCGTTTGCCATCTAGGTGTTCTTTTTTCAAAGCTTATTCAGTGATGAATAAACTTACTTGATACTTCATACTTGAATGGCCCATTTTCACTGGTTGTGTGAGCCTCAGCATAATCTCCAACTTTCGGAGATTTGCTGGTTAGGCCATTGTGGTTCTCTGGAATCCCGAGGTAAGCCTGGCCAAAGTCTGCCCCAGGTCATCACCGCCACAGGCAGTCGCAGCCTTTGCGGATCAGAGGTAGAGATGAATAAACTAAGAAATATAAATGACAAAGGGGTCATAAAAATCCCAGTCAAACCAACAATAACCCACCTGGGGTCTTCTTCTTCCTATTCCATGTAGTCTACGATGAGGTCTTCGACGAGTTGTTTCGACGGCTCTGTTTTTGTATTTTGTTCTAAACAGAAGTGCTGATCGTGATACCTGTATGGGTTGCGAGGGTCCAGAACTGCTGTGAGTCGAGGATTTTCGTCTATTCGAATAGAATCTGCAAAACCTCTAAGTAAAATAAGTGCCAGAAAACTTTGCAGAAAGTGCACTTGATTCTCATTAGTTCTCTCCATTCGTCGGATCTCGTGTACATGATAGCGCTGTACACATAAAATCATAGTGATACTTACTTACTCGGATGCTGCTTGGATGGCCCGTCTTCACTGGTTGTGCGGGCACTCGCATAATTTCGTTTTCGGAGTTTTGAGGAAACTTACCACTTTCTTCCAATACGAGTTGAATTAGGTAAACCACTGGGTTCGAAAGGAATTGCGTTCTCTTCTTCTTGAACACCGCAAAACAGCAACTACTCAGAAGAGAATTGTGATCACTACATTTAAATTCCACTTATTGAAATAATCTAGATCTTCTACACTCTTCTTCAACTTAATTGGACAGTTGGATGGCCCGTCTTCACTGGTTGTGGGGGCCCCAGTATGTTTTCCACTTTTTGGAGTTTAGCTAGTTTAGTCATTGCGTTTCCCTGGAGTTCCGAGGTCAGCCTAGCCAAGGCTTGCCCAAGGTCGCCACCACCACAGGCAGTCGCCACATTTGTGGATCAGAGGGAGATTTGCCACCATGCGACTAGTTTGGTACCAGAACGGTGGTGGATCCTGATATTGGTTTACTCTTAGCTAGGTTTCGTGATGGAAACGCTGGACTCCTCAGCTTGAGAGACCCTACCGGGGGACGAATCCCCCGCTGTACATCGTAGCCCGACACCCAGGAACACTTCCCGGCCACGATGAGGCAGTTAACCGTTAGAAAGAATTCACTAGGATAAACCCTACTTTCTGCGGCTTTCGGTATCACCAAAGTTTCCATAATTGGGCACAAAGTACTCTGTGCTCATAGTTCACATTAATATTTTACAAAAATGTAAGGCTCTCATAATTCCATTGTAGATTGTTTGGACAAAGGTTGATCAACAGCTGTTCAGGAAAAAGTGTGCCAAACTCACATCTGATCATAGCCAGATTTATCTATTCGGATTGCTAGATGTCTTCGTTCAGGGTCGTTGGCCATCAGCAAACGCATTGCCACCTCGCACTCTCGGCTCGGCTCGGCTTAGCCTTATGCTTAGTGATAGGGTTGAGCTCGTATGGTGAATCGCGGACACGAACCGTAAGGCTTTTCGCAGTTATGTTCAGCCACCGAGACATGTTTCAACCGCTAAGCCACGTCGTAAATGCACACTCGAACAATCACGCTGTGAGATTCTTGTCCATTCCAATATTGTTTTTTGCGCCAACTTCATCTATACCCCTCGTGTATACGTCTTTATTTCGAAGATACATTCAAATATATATGTCTGTTTGTAAGTACTCCTTATACAAAACACCTGATCCTGTTCGTGTGCCTCAAATGAACGCCTCTCAGTAAACGGCTCTGAAGGTGAGCAATTCTTTTCATCAGACGGCATAAACGCCATTGGCGGACCCACCTCTTCATGTTCATCAATGAAGTCTGTGTAGTGACTGACCATTTCTTCTCCCCTTCATCAATGATGTCTGCGTAGTGACTGATCATTTCTCCTCATCTTAAGTTAAAGGAAGAGGAAACGAAAGAAAACTGGTTCCCACTTCTGAACGTCCATATCAGCATATCCGAAAGCGGCTACATCACGAAGTGGTGCTGAAGGCCAACTAACAAAAACATACTGGTTCATAACTTCTTCTCCCACACAAACAGGGTGCTTGTGAGAAACACGTCTTGAGCATGCACCAGTGTGTGTGCACAGTAAAGGACCAGAAGAAGGAATCCCTAAAATTGGAGCGGTAAATAGCCATTTCCAGTGGCTACGAAAAGGGTAGGCCTAGATAACTCAGTAGCAGTAATTGAAGTACCATCGAACACTCTAAAATGCCAGCTAGTTCGTAAACCGCTTGCATGACCGTCTGTGCATAACGAAGTGCTCTAATGATAGAGACGGTGGTTGCACTAGCTCGGAAACGACTTATCTGATCTCTTGTAAAACGTGTGAAGACGAATATGTTGACGAACTGTGTAGTCCACTTTGTGTCCGTCTAAAAGAGCACCCAGATGGAAAGCATAATGTCGAACAGAACACTCCTCTAGGCAAGCATAGGACACGAAGGCATAACCAACATTTCGAAGTAGTTGTCACTATTCTCGCATAGGAATCAAAAACGTCAACACATAAACACTTCGAGCCTTCTAAACAAATTCCAAGAATCCGGAAATATTCCAACTTCCTCTACTGCCTATTATTTTCTGGTCAGGGTGTGGTGATGTCAAAAGAAATCCAAAATGAACCGCATGAATAAGTGACTTGTAATCACTCTGACCTTGCCCATACCAGAAGTTGATTCTTTGGCCTGAAACAAGTTCATTCCTCACTCATATGAACTCTACTCAATCCTTTCCTATCGATGAGTGAAGGACTTACAGAAAACCGCGACTCTTTAAAAACCTTCTTCTCCCTAGATTAAAATCTAGGTTATGTTTGTGTCACGAAAGAGACAGCGTTAATCTAAGCACATCGGGCCAAGAAGAGAACGAGATAGACCAAAGCGTTAGCCATTTTGATCATAAAAACCTCGTGTCTCTTCATAAAGAGAACTTAGTACCAAAATAGTGGTTTATTCCTCAACCTAATCCAACTAGTGGATTCGCTATTACCTACTAAACCCTGACACTGTTCTCCAGAGTATCTAAAGATGGAAACAGAAACGGAAAAGTAAAGCTTTATCGAGAGGACAAGCTAATACAGTTGTCAATAAAACACATTAATCGAACAACTATGTTGAAAACTTCCCAGAAAACCAATCACTTTGTTCGAGTACACCAAACCTCTACTGGCAAAACCGGATGATATCACGGAATGATCACGGTGAATCTGACTTCTCCCTTCAGTTGCGAGAACCTACCGACACCTACACAATCACTGATGCTGACAAATCCAATTTAAAAAAAAAGCACGCAAAATTAAAATGTTACAGGCGACACCACAACTTTATTAGCATGGTGATGCACTAAAATTATAGAAAAAACTAAAAAAGAACTCCGAAAGGAAACAATGAACTTCAGGGAATTACCTATACAATATGCCTTTTTGGGAATGATATAGGCCAAATACGCTAGGCCCCTACATGCCAGACAAAAAAGCAGCATAGTTGAACATTAGTTCTCGCCAACATCAAAAGCTCAACTGATTTGAAGAAACCACCATAATTCCTGGATGCAAACGTGTACCGTTCTTCGATAAATTAAACATTTTCCTCTCACAGTATAATAAACGCACTCATAATTCATAGAAATCTCCAAGTAACGAAACGCTGAAGGAAACCATACAAAAATGATATCATTCGCATAAGTAAAAAATTTTGTAAACTACAGGTATTAGAACGTCTACTGAGGAGTAGTGAACAGTGTGAAGAGCTTCCAAGAAAAATTAACAGGGCATTGCGTACGCAACCGAAAGCTCAGCATAGAAGATACGAAATCACGTAAAAACATACAGCGATAACACACTCACAGTAGTATGGGTAGCAGAGTATGACAGAGAAGAAACAAAGACAAAAACAGAGAGTCACATAGAAGCCGGTGAAATTCTGCCTTCACCACACGACGACTGGGCCACCTTTATGGAAATCGTGTTGTAGAACGAAGCGCAAGCGTATAAACACGACTACGTTGATATGCGGTGTTCTCGATCCTAATCAAGCGTTCTTCTTATTACTGCAAATAATGCAAGAGTACACAAAATATGTCTCAACTTAGCCGTACTTTAATTGGGGGTATTGTGATAGCCACGGAAAGCGAAGCCGACAATGTTTACCAGAAATACATAAGTGAGAACACACGTCTTATCGGCATTCCCATACTTTGCATGTCATGTCTACGCTGGATGTGATCACGAACGGCGCTGTGGCATGGAAGTCTAAAAGTAACCAGTCAATATGGTAGAACGTGTACATATCCAAATCACATTTATAATGACAATAATGCTTCTTTTAGGGAAGACAAAAAAACCGAAACTTTTGAAAAAGAAACTTCGCAGTAATAAAATGCAGGTTGTCTACAAGCGGCTTGCAGTTTCTGCCCAAACAAAGCAGCTTACAGTTTCTGCACAAACAAGTAGTTCTTCTAACCATATTTGTTCCTTAGTTAACACAAATCAAAACAAAACATGGAGTACTACGTCATTTAATTCACAAAGTTTCATTTCTTTACACCCATATAATCAAGAACTCAGAAAAATATCGCCACTCACCGACACTAGTGACAAAATGCTGATGAGCGTCAATCGTCTTGGCACAGCGTCTTTGCGCTACATCCCATACTCGTAACGTCTTATCATCGGCGACAGAGACAAGGAACTTCCCACGAGGATGAAAACGCAACCCGCGAACCCAGTTGTCGTGGCCGATGAGCGAAAACATGACCGTACCCGTCAACGCATCCCAAACCTGGGCATTTCCTATTTAGACTGTGTTGCTACAGAGACACCTATTATGAGCGTTAAAGGATGAACATAAAAATCACCACCGATAAACATCAGAGACAATAACGTTGCTCATGTAATGGATGACTCTCGTTTCTAATGCATCATCATTGCACGGCATAAAATCGCCGTAGATTTGGATATGACTTAAGATGTTCTTGGACCTTCGTTAATGTTAGTGTAAGTCTTCCGATTAGGCCAAAAACATCAAACAACTGTTCTATTTTATGAGTACACGTAGCACGATAAGTTTGACTTGAGAAAACGTGAAAACGCAGAAAAACTTCATCGGTCAAAAACATGCAGTGCAATGATATAATATTCATTCCTTTAAATTGTATACCACCCGTCTTCACGTCTACTGTACGGATCCCACACTCCCACATTCCGGTTTGTTTTCACGAATCCATTATCCACGAAGGTCTTCCAACTTTCGCGTGTGGCTTCGGTTCTTGGTTGTGGGCTTTCACATTGTTTTAAATCTCACAGAATGCTGGTCGAGTCGATTCTTCCTGGGGTTCAGAGATAGCCGATCTAGGGCGTTCTCAATTGGATAGCAGAGAGTGATTTCTCCAGAACAACCCTGGTACCAATTTCCGGACCCCGGAGAGATGAAAGGCTTGGTGAACTTGGGGAGGGGTGGAACCAGCACCGCACTCGTGATGATCGGCATCACTACCATTGTGATATTCGCCTCTAATAATACAATAGGATGATGTAAATATTAGACAATTCTGAAGTCAAGTCATGCTCGAACAATTTCACATTAAAACTGTTTATTTTATTTAAAGATTTTTCACAGTTGGAGGCGTTCTACATCGAAAGTGAGATGAAGGAATAGCCTTCGAATAAAGTTACCGAAACTTAGGGTAGCACAGCAAAAGTGAGACCATTCATTAAAATCAAAGTGACCATAACTATCTTAGGATTGCAGGAAGAATTGATTCTACCAGCATTCAATAGAATTCGTAAAGACGATGAATCTCCCCGAGAAGCAGGCGAATTTTCAATAAAGAAGTTCGGAAACCTCCATGGATGATGGATACGAAGGAATCAACCGAATGTAAAAGATGCTGGGACCTACAGAATATATGTAGTGTCCGGTAATGTTACAATAATAATAATGACAAAAGTAATAGTAAACACTAATAAAAGCAATAATAACAGTAATAAACAAAAAAAATATCGGAACTTTAACAACAAGTTTAGCAGCGATATAAAGAATACTGGACGGAAGTAGAAAGAAAAAAGTAAATTTACAAACCTTAATTGTCTTATCTCTTGATCCACTTACAACGACGTGCGTCGGACCGGCACCAAAGTCGCCGTTCGCTTTATGGCCCGCTGTAAAATTGGATGTGAAGCAAATTTTCAGAATGAGACAGGTCGTCAGGCGATACAGAACAAATTGGCATTGCATTCGAACGAACAGAAATAATAAATGTTGATATACTAGTACACGTCATAGCATAACGGTAAAAGAAACACTGAATGGACAATTTAAGAATAGACGTCCTAAATTGACAGTCATATCTTTCAGTGAATAGAGATATTGATTGCTTCATAAACAACATAAAATGCACCACATATTCCTTAAATTCAAAAGAGAAACTATCAACGGATTGCGGATATAGCTCTGCACCATGAGTTCGTTTTCCTCAGTAGAATACCTTCTTGTAGTTCTCTAAGGTATGAAATGGCATAACAAACGAACTGACCTTCTGTCCTGATGGGTGCAAGTGCTGTGTCCGGAGCCCACTCTATGCACTCCACGACATGTTCATGTTCACGAAGCGTTGCTTTCACACTCTTTGACTGTAGTGACCACACTATCACTGACTGAAAACGGAACTGTAAGCCATAAAAGATACTTACTAAAAAAAACAAGAGCTCGTATTTCATTCATATCCTCAAAACAACCCTAAAATTTCATTTTAGTAGCATCACAATAAAAAGGAAAATCCTAAAAAATAGCGCCTAATCCAAACGCAAAGACGCACGTCATTTCCACTGAAGAAGAAAAGAATTTTGCTAGGTTCTCTTGTGATTCTCCACGTAATTCAATAATTACGGATAAACACGGACAATTTTCCATGCATTCATCGTCTACAAAATCTTTGAACATTTCGCGTCTTGTTTCGGATGGTGTTTGACGATTTGACCTTTTTTATGAAAGCCATAAAAAGCTGGTAGAGCCGACTCTCTTTACAATCTTGGAGATAGTCAAGGTGTTCTCAGGTGAGTAGGAGGGGAAGGCTGAGTAGAAGATCGAACCTTACCACTTTGACTTCAGATAGAGTGGCTCACTAACCACAGCACTACCCAAGCAATTACGAATACTGGTGGAAAGATAGCTTTACAACCAATTACGTTCGATTAAATTTCACATTTAAATATGTCCATACACACCTTTTATAGCTCTAATATATACGTCCACAAACACTCATTGAAGATCAATAATGCTTTTGAAACCAGATGTCTGACATGGATCTACTCAACAAGAAAGACTTCCTCCACCAATAAAATACTAGTTTAGCTAGAAATTTTCCAGAGTTCGCACTTCTCGCTGCAATCCATATATCCGAGCTTGCAAATAGGATTATAATGGAGATCGCACTGCAGTTATGACATAACACAAAAACTCTACATTTCTTTATATTTACGATTGATGAATACGAAGTCCAATCTAAGTTAACACTACTAAACTAATATTAAGACGTGAAAAACACTACCTGATCGTTACTGGCGGACGCAAAAAGTAAACCATCAGAAGAAACGCGCACCATTCGCACCCATTCAGAATGTCCTCGGAAAGTATGCACGCAATATCCAGAAGCCACCTGCAACCATCAATACTAGACGACGTGCCTAACTACGGAGACATATGGCACCTCAGTAGAATTCGAAACACGTTTAAAATAATAGAATAACGGAGGGTGAACTGATGTAACTTGCTGGAATAAAGCCATCCAGCTTTACGCACTAGCACACTCCACAAGTTCTTAATCTCCAAATGTGTCAACATCCATTACACTAAATTATAGAGATATTCAAAAGCAAAACTGAAGTTAACTCCAACCTCCCACAACTTGATTGTGTGGTCTCTGCTTGCAGACAGAATACCATCACCTGACGGTAAGAAGGATACCGACGAAATGTTGTGATCATGACCCTTCAACGTTTTTACGCATGCATACGAACTGCCAAATTCCCATACTTTGATTGACATATCAGCCGAGCATGATACTAAAAACACAACTCAGAAAACGCTTTTAACTGAAAAATCAAACGACACTTCATTCAAGTCTTTCTGTACTAAACAATTGTCCCACTTTCTCCTTTCTAGGATGAAATAAAACTTTGTTTTGCACAGAGAAATGATATGCTTGGTTCGATAGTGAGAACAGTTCTCCTAAACACGAATACTGCAACCGCAGTCACAACGTATACTCACAACAGAACTATCTTGCTATTTGTAAAAGTTTGATTTTCTAGAACCAAAATACAGTGGTGCATGCGAAAGCCTGTCTACAAATCCACCAATAGTACTTAATAAACTGTGAAACTTTTTTTCTACTTTAAGAGATATCGTGACCTACAGCTACGCCACAGCTGTAAACTTCGGATATAAAGACTACTAATCTATGCAGTTTTAACTTGACAAAAACTCTTAGAAATCAAATTGTGAGGAGAGCGTTTCCCTTTAAAACACCTACTCACCGAGTAGTTTTCCAGTCTTGTCAAATGCTATGTCCTGAACGGCATCTGTGTGGCCTTTCAATGAACGCTCAAACTCACCAGTCTCATAGTCCCATATCTGAATGAATCGTCAGAAAACTACTTCTCACTCTTTAGATTTTGTTCATAGACAGCGAGAAACAAATTTCGATACGTGGACTACGGAAATTTAGTGAACTGGTTAAAAAAGTTTAGTCTACTAAGAAATGCGCAACCAGGTATTTGTCATATTCGAATAACCAAAAATTTCTAAAAGTATGATGTTCAACCAAAATGAACTTAAGAATTCGAAGGGGAGGTATAAGCACAAATTTTTGCTATCACACAAGTCGGTATATTACAGGACTCCATATAAATTCCCAGAATGACCTAAAAGAATTCCTAAGAATGTTATAACTGCAATCTTAATTTTATAGTACGTTTTTTAAAGAGCATCGTTAACTGTTAATCTGGAGGAAGTCTGCTAATTCAATTTGTTGTTTGTTCATACGCTGACTGCTTCAAAAAAGGATAAAAAGAATTTGAAAAAATTATGGGTCTGGGGTGAAGGGATCGATTCCATGTTTACTGCAACGAACATCCGACCACTGCGCTACATGCACCTCCTCTTGTTCCAATAGTAACAAATAATAAGACAACTGCAAATGTAAGACAAATCAGGCACTGCAGTATGAAACGAATTTTAAGAGGAAGTTTGATGTATACTGAAGTGGCTATGTTACAAAGCAACATCCATTTGCTAAGTGAGATCTTTCTACACTTATGCCAAGCACTCTAGTAGAGTTTAACATCATCTGCCGTGCTCAAGCCAAAATTTTGGCCGCGTTAGAGAATTAGAGTTCAGATTTTTGACTTTTGGAACAAAATAAAGCAGAAAATGGAAACCAATACTTAAGAACTTGCCTTGATAGTGGAATCCTCACTACAGCTTGCCATCACGTTCCAGATGGGATGGAAAATCACGCGAGTGATTGGTGCTCGGTGTCCCGTGAGTGCATACCGTTCCGGTGGACGTGGAATCCATTCTGAGGGTTGCCGCTTCTCTCTAAAGCACCTGCGCTCATTGCAAATCGATGCGATAGTTTTGAGCAGGCGAGTCAAAAAGAAAGCGTAAATATTCACTATTCCCCTTATTTGCTTCCATTGTGTTAGATGGAAGCTTCAAATAATATTATTAACGGATATAGCTTTGCGCACAGACCCTTATTTAAGCTCACTTACAACTTCATTTGTGCGATGAGGTCCTTATATCCTACCAAATATATTATATAAACATATATCTGCATCTGTACCTGTAGAATCTATAGTCCCTTTGATCGCCGAGTGTCTCGAACGCATATTTCCCTGTGCGTGCAATAGTAGTCCAGTGGGTTCTGCTCGTTCATGGGACTTGTCGAGCATCATATCTTTCTTCAAAGCTCTTTGTGAAGAACTCTAACCATCGGGTCGGTGGTCATCCTGCAGTACGTTTAACATCTCGAGGAATCCAGTCACTAACGGCTCTAATCCATCGGTTGCCATTCATCCGCATGACGTGTCCTGCCTACCTTAACCTCGACTGTTTGGCGTACAGAAAGGCATCTTTGATTTTTGATCGTTGACGCAGGTCGGGTCTTTGGATCTCTTCCCTTACTTGCGTGAAACGGGATACTCCTAGCATCGTCCTTTCGACGACTGCACGTTCTATAACGATGAGTGATCTTTCATTCCACTTACGCAGTGACCATGTTTCCAACGCATACGTTAGGGTACGAAGTACCGTTGAGTCGAAAAGGTAGGCACGGAGTCGGGTGTTCTTTGTCCTCTTTACTGCATCCTCGATGCTCTTGAAAGCCTCCCAGAGCGGTCGTTTCCTTCTGCCCAACTCTGGAGCTAAGTCGTTCATCATATTGATTTCGCGACCTAGACAGCCATAACTGGAGCATTCGGAGACATTCGTTCCCTTGGGCGTGAATGGGGCATACGAAACCAAACCGTTCCTCATGAACATCGTTTTTGTGAGAATTAGTCGAAGACCAACCTTTCCGCAGGCTTTATCAAAGTCGTCAAGCATACGTTCCGCTTTGCCAATGTTTGGTGTTATAAGGACGATGTTATCAGCAAGGCAAAGATGATTTAACTGCCGACTATCGATTTGCACTACCATATTATCCTATTCCAGTGTTTGCATGACGTTCTGGAGGGTGGCGGTAAATAATTTTGGCGAGATGGTGCTTCGCCTAGGTCCTCTTTTGACGTCGATGTTAATACCGTTGTAGAATGGTGAAATTTTGGTTGTGAAATTTTTGTACAGCTCGCGGTGAATCTTTATGTACCGAGTAGGCACTCCTTGACTATCAAAGGGTTCCAAGACTGCTTCTATCTCAATTGAATCAAGGGCCTTTTTCTGTAAATCGATAAAAGTGAGATAGAGCGGTCTTTTGTACTCTCGTAATACTTTAATGACCCGTGTTACCGTGTGAGTGTGGTCCACCGTACCAAATGCTTTTCGAAATCCTTAGTTCGCGGTTACCTACAGTTCGTGCGATTCCACGCCGGCGTATCAGCTCCAGTGTTTCTGGAGACAAACGTCTCTTGGTGACTTTCGAACTCTCAGCTTTCATAGCGCTAACATGAAGTGTTGAATGAGCCGATCGTATCCTTCGTCGATGATATCGACAACTGCATCTTCCCAATAGCTGACTAATGAATTGAATAAGTCCCAGTTTGCGTTGGTTCCGGGACTTCGGTTTTGGAATTAAGAGGCTTTTTCTCCCTTCCACGAGAAATAGAATCTTCCACGAAGGAGACGATAGTTTGAACCCGTGTAAAATTTTGGGACAACAGCGATATCGGTTAGACAAAACTTTCTACTTACTATGATGTGGTTTATTTCGTTATGGTACTCTCCATTGGGAGACTCGCACGTCAAGCGTTGAGAGTGGGCTCCTCGAATTGCGAGTTACCATGGATTGTCTTGGTCACTATGATAAACTCAGACAGCCGCTCACCCTGTTCGTTCCATTCTAAACCGTGGTTCCCAATGTGACGTTCTGGAGACGCTCCTCTTCAAATCTTGGCGTTGAAGTCTCCAATGATGACCTTGAAGAATGTGAGGTCTTCTCTGTAGAACTCCAAGTCCGTATAGAACGGTTCGACTTCTTCGTGATAGCTTGATGTCGGCGCGTAAACGACGGAGATTGTCAAAGCCGGAATTTATTCACGTCTTTTTAATCGTAAACGTTCGATTCGAGTTGTAGGTTGTTCGAATGAATGGATGTTCTTGGACAAACTGGTGTTGACGAGAACGCCGACGTCGCCGACTCCTCTATTGTCCCATGTTCCGAGGAACAGTTCTTCTCCGGTGTCATAGACGGCTTGAAAGGCTGGCGTCTTCTCGTCTCGGCCAGACCGATGACGTCGTACGTTATCCTTCCTGGCTGCATGAGCAAGTCTTCTATCAAGGACGCGGATGCTAGCGTACCTGCATTGTAGGTACAGATCGTCACCATACTTCTTTGTAATCCAGGCAGCTTCCATTGGCCCGAGATTTTAGCGGCCTCTCCGTACTCGTCCTACCCGACGCTGAGAAATCGGAGGCTCCTTCGGGATCAGGGGAATGATGCCCGTTTCTTTTAATGATTCTAGCTTTTTGATACCCACGTATAACTTGCTGGGCTCTGAACGTGGGAGCTGGGTATACTCACGGGTAGCTTGCCAGGCTTTCCCAGAGTGGACATGGAGCTTATTTGTTGGACGCGACTCTTAACCGCTTCCCATATACTTCCCAGTCACTTGATTGCAGGATATATATATATATACATATATATATATATATGTATATGCGTATACTTAGATGTACTTGAACATGTGTGTAAATATAATGTATACATGTGCATAAGTATATATACATACATATGCACGTATAATCTTTTCTATATTCCATCGCATTTTGTTGAAAACTAATGTTACTTTTTTTGTCAAATGAAGAAAAAACAAAGCAGGATGTAGTTCGAAAATAATTCATCTTTTCGAAAACAAGAAAAAACTCAAACATTGTAAAAATAAACGGCAAATAACTCGAAAATTCATCAACCTTGATGGTGCACCGTGACTTATTTCTTTCTCCGCTTCTGCTAATTTCGCTTCTAAATCATTCACCTGAAATATATTTGAAACAGATGGTTGCGAATTTTATTGGCAAAGAACAACCAGGTATGAAGAATTTCTCCTTCCATGACAACAGAACTAAAAAGGGAACATAGATTATTGATTCAGTAGCATACAAAGACTTTTCGCCCACCTACGATTCCTAGAATTTATTTTTTTCAATGATTTTCATGTTTCCCTCATACCAAGCAGGCAAACAGTTCTTGCTGTTTAAAATGTCTCAACTACAAGATTATAAAACAAATCCCAGTTAGATTGCTGTTTCGACATGCAACATGAAGGCGGTGAACATTACTGAACTCAACGATTCCCGCAGATATTTGAAGAAAACTAACTTTTTTCTGTAGTCGTAGTACCGACGTCCACTTCTTTTCGAGCATACCACTCATTGTTTTATGATCATTTTCACTCTGTAATAGTAAATGTACCAATATTGACAACTTCATAATAATGTTGAACTTCATAGTTAAGAACAAAATTAGAAATACAGTTCTTCAAATAACTTCTGTACTGTTCAAGACGTCAACATTAAAGAGGCTGCCATCACAAGAAAGCGTTTTAAGCCAGTATGTAAGCAAACGAAAAGTGGTCTCACCAAGCTTGCTTCCTGTTTGAAAATCTGCAACGATTCCAAATATCCGCAGTTCTGAAGGTAATCGGCAACTGCACGGTTTCTTCAAAAATGTTACCATTAAGACAGATTAACAAAAATGTATCGATATGAACCTCAATTAACAATCCTAGCACTAGGTACTATTGCTGCTGAAGGTAGAACACGTGGAATTGAATCAACATTGGGTGCGACCTCATAGAAGGTTTATCGTAACTGTACATGATTGTTGTCGTTCCAAAACGCCTAATTCAGAATAGAATAAAAAAATCATGGGAAAATTTGGCGTGCGTGACTTTGGAACAGCTTGCAGCAACCACCACAGCTTCCATTATTTGGTGCATGCGACAGCCCTTCTTATCGATTCAGACCATAGTTCTTCACTGCCCCTGCCATATTTAATTTCACGGACCAGCCGGAGCTGCATAACTGGTTTCTGTCTCGAACTGCACACACTCTTTCCATGCTTCCCCTAAGCGCAGCATAATGTAATTCAATCAAGGGAAGCGACAACACATCTTTGGACAATTATTCCAGACATAATGTACCCTCGTGAACTAATTATGAATGAATGAACACTGCCTAGCTGTTCATCACTTAAATCCACACTGCACTTTTGACATCCACCAGAATTACACTTGTGATCAACCTGAATGACTCTTAGTTGCACTGTACACAACAGTTCTTTTCAAAACCACTGTAGAATATCAATAAAAAGATCTACTTAACCAAATCGAGCAGTGCTTCCTCCTCACTTCGACATCGTCCACATAAGGCGTTACATCGATTGCTTCCTGTACGTGCACATCTCGTCATGTTCCACCTACTCTCGCCTTGCTATTGACATTGTCAGTCGTGTGGCTGATAGGATTACTCCCCATTTCACGGCGGTATAGTTGCCCACGACTACATTACCAAGGAGAAGGAGCATGTTTAAAAAGAAAAAAACAACAGTAGCGACTAGTTACAAGTTCCCAAACTGAGGCATAATTTCTGCATGAGATGACAGAATGTATTCGTATAGTGCCTAGGCCACCTTCGAGACTTAATATACAAATTCATGCACGCTTTATCAATTTCTATGTGCTAAAACTTGCTTCGTGATCTCATAGCACTTCCTTAGCAATACCAACTATGCATCGATATCACATCAAAATGACACATAAGCTTTAGTTCTGAACAATTCAAAGCTGCTGCGCAATTCTCAATCAAAGCGTGAAATCCGGCAACATTTCGTAGTAAGGATCCTATTGAATCCCAGTAACTGATAGATGATGGAGAAATGCAACTAATGGTTTAAACGCACTCATGCATTCTTTTCACAAAAGCACTGCTCAGCAACAATACCGTCAACACCGTCCACCAACTAAAACAGCGTACCTGTTTTTAACCGCTGAGAAAAAAGCAAAGAATACGCCAACTTTGCCTTCTATTTCTTGACCTGCACAAGACATTTAGCCTGATTTCATTGGACCAAACTGTTAATTAAGGGAAAGTGATAGCAGGTGCAAACATCATCCTGTTTTTCCTCGCATGCTTTCAGGCTGAAGCAGCTTTCTAAGCCAAAAAGGGTATATCGAACAACACACTTGCATCCTAGAATTCCACATTCGACATAATATCATGTGACGTGCTGCAAAGTTATGAAACTGGATAACTATGACTCTCCTAAATTGTGCCCTGCCATTGGAAAGCTCGAAAGTTAAGTGATGAACCTTCATCTTAACGGAATACGATAACTAATATTTTACACGTTATGTTGTTCTTCACATTCGAGGCCTTCGTAAGCTATATCCTGTGAACTACCGGACATTAATTTCCTGACATCAGACATCTCTACACATAAACTCGCTGAGTGAAGAGTCGTTGAAGCCCCGACTGTTGAATACCCAACAATCAATGCTCTCTGAGTAAACACAAGAGAAGCAAGTGCCCCTACGCGGAGAGCGTCAATGTCTGCTGTTAACAGACGAACCCACAACGTACTACCCACCAACTTTTATCGTTCAAGTACTTAAAAAATTAAACAAAAACCACCACAACATCTACTTGTATGTTCTTATGAACTGATCTTGCTGAGCTGATACGAGGTTAGAATAATTTAACTGTATATACATATACATACACAAATATCGATTACTTATGCCGAGGATTATCAAAATTCGGTCCTTGAGTTATTAAGAGATGTGCCTACCACAATACTATTGGTTACCGAAGAGGCAAGAATGCCTGAGCTAGTCGCTCTCTTGTAGAACAAATATGTAGACGATAATATCAGAAATGTGCAACCACAAAAGACAGCAATCGTACACTTCGTAAAGGAGTAAACATGATCATTAGGGGACAACCATCACAAGAAAACATACGAACACCCACATTTCTTCCCGTTGCCTATCCGATACATTCATTTTCATGCCTCCTTCCTCGCTGTAGTTCTTGAAAATCCAACCTGACACGTCCAATCACAGCACGTCCGTCGTATTCAAGAGAATACCCGTTCTCTAACAGCACCAAATTTGAGCTGAAAAATAATCATATAGTAATATACTTTGCAGACATGTCAATTCAGAGGCGGAATAGTAGGGCAAACACGTCCACGTCATTCACAACATTATCTAGGAATATCGATCGAAAAACAAAGAAACAAAGTTGGAAAAGCATGGAAGGCCTAACGTAAATGAATACCATCTTCATGATAATGTAAACTTTTTTAAAATTTTTGTATGACGTCCTCACGTCTACTGAGCGGACCTCAGCACTTCTCACATTCGTTTCGTTTCTTCGCATACATCATCCACGAAGATCTAAGTTTTATGAGTGGCATCGACTGCCACTTGAGGATTTTCATTTCGTCTTGAATGTCATAGAAAGCTGGTCGAGTCGATTCTCCCTGGAGTGTTGAGATAGTAGGGTTGGAGGGTTCCCAACTGGACTGGACAGAGTGATTTTTTCCCGGACGAGGCCAGCACTAATCTCCCAACCCAGAGGGGATGAGAGACTTGGTTAATCCGGAATGGAATGGAACGAAAACCATGCTCGTGATGACGGATATCACTGCTACTGTGCTATCCGCCCCATTACACTGTGAAGTATTGGAAGCAAACAATAACAAATGAATGGGTACCACAAAAACATACAAAAACCACTATGAGTTATCACAAGCTATCAATAATTTGAGGAAAGCCATCAATAAACGTCAGGCGTAGGAAATCAAAAAACCTTTTAAATCACGACAAGTTTCAAATCAGACTTTTTGAAACAGATAGACAGGTCGAAATGCAAGGCTCTCAAGCAACTGGATGAAGAAGACTTTTAAACGCCGAATGTCGACAGCATCCTGTACGTACAAAACAGTCAGTAATCGATGAGGAGAAGAGACATAAATCATCGAACTCTCTAACAAATGCGATACAGTGAGTCACTGGAAACAGTTGGAGCATGTGAAGCGAATAATTGACATGGTTCTTCACAGCCATGCTAGATTACCCAATGGTACAGTGACTTGAATAACCAACAATGAACAAAATACCTTTAGCTCAGAACTCTACTGGAAATGAAAACTTGAAGACAAAGCGGTAAAGACCTGTCTGATATTGGAACCCATGAAGAGAAACCAGCAATGAAGCCCATGAATGAAGAAGAATGGGAAGAATAAGTGTTGAAACAGATGCTGCATCACCGAAGTGAGGCTGAACAATTGTGTCCCCATCATCTCGCAAAAGCCATGTACGCAACGGAATCCCCTATTTTAAATTATACGCCTATTTCTAGTAAATTACGAAGAAAATAAAACTACTACGAGATACTGCATCCTTGTCTCAGCTGGGAAAAGCCGAACTGTTTATAGTAAGCATTTTCATCGGTTCCAGAAAAATATGTTTGAAAAACACTATTCTAAACCGGCAATGTAAAGCAAACCTCGACAATCTAAGACAAGGAATTATTGCCCATTTTCATCGTGAATACGTATTTTATACCCTTTGAGGAGAACTTATTCACCAGCAGAGCTTAATATTAACACAAAAGAAAAGATAGACTTCAATGTAGTTAAAAATGCTCGGAATCTTGTCGAGGATAGCGAGTATGAGTAGTTTTTAAAGTGGAGATAGAGCAGTAGGAGTAAAACGTGCCCGCTCATAAGGCACATGTACTGAAGCTAAAACGAGCGAGTGACTACTTCGGCACTAGGGTTATTCCGTGAAGAAACCGCATCGTCGTGAGCCATTCTGCTGACAGCAGGACTTAGGCAAATTTAATTTGGCGGTCCGAAGACGTCATGGCGAACACTATGCACTACAACATTCAAGAAGAGTGAAAAATCTCCGGGATTTCACTGAGAAAACAAAAAATTCCGCAGAATTTCCTGGAATGCTGCCGTCTGTTGAAGAAAGCGTTTATCAAGATCCCTCAGAGATACATGCATGCATCGCTCAAATATTTCTGTTCATAAGAAAAAGACAAGCAGAAGTCTGTTGCTGATGGTTTCACTTGAAACGATAGTAAGTACCACAATAGTCATAACCAGTATGAGCACGTTTTGGCAGAACTGCTGAAGCTTCCGAATAATGTTTGGCATTGATTCGAAGCGCAAACAAAGCGACTGCGTAGTACGTCATTCGCCTCTCATCAGGGACAAACGCTAAATCATTAATATCTGAATCCGGACCACAGCATGTCAAGGCAGCTTGCAAAAACGAAACCCGAGCCTCTGAATTCAGTTCGTAACAAGGATTACGCCAATACGAATCACTGTCGATGGGAATCGAACTTTGTAGAAGGATAACGACAACTACAAAGGAGCCACTGCCTCTATCGTCGATGCTTCGCTCCCAGCAAGGTATGACGCTTGGTGAAGATACCGTAAAACACGTCATTGAGCTGATGAAACTGGTGTTGAATATTGCGAAATAGGGAGGAAAGGAAAGAAAAGACAGCCAGCTGTAAGTAATGCCGCCATATTCAGATTAGTGTGGCGGCATATAAAAACTCAACGAACGCAGACCAGTAGACCTAACAAGTTGGTTCAACCACATCCTGACCACGGGTTGCATTCTATCGTCCCTATTGTCTCATTGAGATCTTCCAGAACCTATAAAACAACTACGGTGGTCTTCCCAAGATTAGCGTCATTGGAGCTGTACTTGACCCTAAGCTGTACTTCGAAAAGCCCAGAGGCCAATCGCATTGAGTTCCATGAAATATCGACCTGAGGGAAGCAGAAGCGATGCCAACTATTCAGCAGCACCAACAAAGTAACACACAAGAACAGAATGCAGAAGTGAAACCAGTCGGAAGTGGGACAATTCAACACCTCAAAGCCAGCGACGATTCATTCCATAAGCCTTAAGAGACAACGAAGCCCACAGAAGCGGTCTCAAAAGCGGACAAGAAAATTTTCCTCCACCACTACTGTTTCTCGACAGTAAATGAGCTCATGGAAGAAGAACAACATGATGCTCCCAGGCATGGAAATTACTTCGATGAAGGATTTCATAGGATTAGAACAATAAGAAAAAACACGTCAAACAAGGAATAGGGAACAACATGCTGTCCTATAGTATGGAGATGACCCCACAAAAGATTCTAATAGATTCTGCAAGACCTTAGTCATAAACGGCACCACAAATAAACGTTCCACCCGTCTGGGAACAGGATGGATGGATTGGGGACCGGATGACGACGCTCAGACGAGCCCACAAGACCCCCCAGGCCCACGAGCACTGGAAAGGCTAGGACGCGCTGCATCTCTCGTCTTCACACGCTCCCTCGCCACACCGCGACCGATGCGTCCAGGCGCGTGCGACCGCCCACCCACCGTACCATGATTGCTTGCGAATCCAACGCTGTTCAAAGCGCTTTTTAACCCGCTGTTATCCCGATGAGCAAACACGAGGCGTTAACGGAAGGGTCCGTTCAGTGCGATGCTGGCTGTTACGTCGGCAGTTTAGCCCTCTTCAGAACTATCTTGTTGCCTTTAAGTCCTCTAGTTATCATTGGGGATCAGCCCGACAGAGTCTTACATGGGTGGGAAGTCTACTTTCGAGTCCACCATGCCTCTGGCGCCTTTTTTCGTGGCCGCCTCAATCAAGTACGAACATTTTTTTCGTCGGTTGCGGTCTTTCTCGTTTTTTGACGAGAGCAAATCCGCTCGCAATAACTGGAGGACTTGAGGGATTTCGGACCTGATAGGATTGTAGAAGAAGTTTTGTTCTACCCTTCTAGGAGTATGAATGATATGTATGCTACTATTTACTGTGTGTTATTGTGATCCATACTGAAAATGAATTGCTGTGGACATTTGGAAGTATTTTTCAGTCTATGTTGTGCATGGACGCGTGTGGCGCAGTGGTTGGAGGCGCCCTGCAACACACGTGGAATCCCAGGGCCCATGGCCCACCAAACCTTCCATTGCTCCGGCGTCGGCAAATTGGTACCAGACTTGTCTGGGTTAAGAGCAGCATTGGTTCGATACATCGGTAGGCCAGCCCGAGTCATTATAAGCATTTAATCACCTCCAAACGATGCCTAGTAAAGTCGAATGCATGGCGCATCTCTCAGCGATTGATCAACGCCGAGAGTTTTATCCTTCTTTTATCCTTAATGTTGAGACTGTGTCGGTATTCTCGTATCCACCATTCTATACGATAACCATAGCAATTAAAATGAAGTAGCAAGAAATTCAGCCATAATGATGCTGAGATATTTATAAAACTCTGGACCGCAGGTGTCTGCTGTGGGGATCGAACGCACAATTACCCTTTTCGTATGCAGACGCGTTCACCACCACATCACGCGGCTCCTTCGTTTCGGTTTTCTCTCAGCAACTTTGCTGCCTACCAGTGCCATCAACAAGAAGTTGTTTGTCGAATTACCAGTCGATGGACATTTTTCGACGGCATCATTGGGCGTAGAAGATGATTTTTTCGTCGTCTGGTACGAACCCGTGTGAACACTATGGTGTCCATATGGGTGGAATATATTAGAAAACGACCGTCATTTAGCCTTGACGGCTGCAGTCAATATGCTTCTTACACTGCCCAGCTTACACGAAGTTTTTATAGGAGTTTTATGCGACTAACCTTTTGGCGTCCTCGTCTTCTTCAGCGCCGATAGAACCAGGATGGTTGTTCACAGCAGTTGCTTCTTCTTGTGGAGTCGGTCTTTGTGGCCTTTGTATCGAGTCTTCTCTTCTGGGGTGAAGCACTGCTCAAATGAAGTAATTTTTCTCGTTAATACTCCTTTCATACAGTACAGTTGTTGTTGATTGTCCGCTGACAATGATAAGTATTCATGAACACAATCTATTCTACTGTAGTCGGTCTTATATCATCTCGCACTTAGAGAATCATAGTTTATATCAAGTCCAATACGAGTACGGCACGATTAGGAAGACCCACATCATGAGGCTGAACAGCCGTGGACCATCAACTCGGATCAATCGTCTCTGAAGAAGATGAAGATGTCGAAATGTTAGCCGGATAAAACTTCCATAAAGACCTTGTGTAAGCTGAGCAATCTAAAAAAAGCATATTGATTACTTAAAGTAATTTGTTTATTATCAGGAGAATCTGGTGACGATAAGTTCACGATCCCGATTGCGGAACTGTCTCTGTTAAGTGATACTTCTGTACACTATGTAATGCATGAAGGATAACTCTGAATACAATTAGGAAATTACTGTTCTTCAGAGGAATCTGAACGGATTCCCAAGTAAGAAATTGGCATAAACATCAACGAAAGCATGACGATGTTGGTCGAGACTTTCAATATACGTTCAATCAACATCAGTTTATGACGTATGCTGAGACGACTAGAAGACAAGTGAAAATTGATCTACCTCGTGTTCATCGCCAACAAATGTGATTTCCTCTACTACGTCTACACATCTGAAGCGAATCTGGGAAAAGAAAGGATAGACGAACAACACAAATGACATAAAGAAACTTCACAGTGGTTCATGCGATTTGTACCATTTCCACTTTTCAAATCTGTTAGGGTTCAAATTCATGCCTTTAATTAATATCGTCATCAACCTTTTTGATAATATTAATGCAGACATATAAAAAACACTTACACATCCCCGACAAGCACTGTCTGCATTTAAACTACGCAGATTTTTTCATGAAAAGATCAAATATGCGGCGGTTAGTCACAAAAAGTTGTCACTTTCAGTGGCTGAGTCATAAGCTCGAACTATCTCAGTTAGCTGTGCGACCCGTCTTCAACGGTGATGCGGACTCCATTCGTTTCTCCCTCGCGTACTGGTCGTCCGTGGTTGTGGCCTTGTTTGCACATGGTGACGCTCACGAGGCACACTTCGACTTCGTTAAAAGCGTTTCCATCTGCAAATGCAGGTGGTTGACGTTAGCCATGAACACGTCCGCCCATCGTTTAGGTGGTCTTGTAAGAGGACGCTTGCATTCTCTTGCAGTCCACTCAACTGTTGCTTTCTTCTATCTGTCATCTGTTCTTCTTATGAGATCAGTTCTTCTGTGTTTTCTATGTTTCGCCGTCTATCTCTTTGATCACGTAGAATAATTTATCGAAAAGGTTTGGTTTCGAAGAACTGAGCTGCCTATTCCGGTTAGACGTCACGAGTGCTGATTAAATCTCATAAACCATCGTTCAAGCGCCCTATGGGTGGTGCACATAGTTCTTACAGGTTCAAGCATTATACCACGTACCTGCTACAGAGCTGATTGGTGACGGGACTACCGAGTCGAGTGCGCCAGCTCGGCGTTTTCAGTTCGTTTGCCAGTCGGTAGCATCACAGAGGGGCCTAATGCAGCCCATGCTTTTCTCCTTCTAATTCCTCCTGTATTACATTCCCCATTTCCACTGGACCTCTACTACAATACACGTAGGGGTCTCTGTATTCAGAAAACCACCCGGTTTGACCTCTTCGCCCTCGCACTATGAGTTTTGCACGAACTGGGTCTTCTTCCTGTTTATAGCAGTCCAACTTTTTTACCCGTATCAAGTAGCTCTAAGGCGCGTGTGGCGCAATGGTTGGGGGCGCCACTGCGACACACACGTGCAATCGATCCCCATGCGAATGGCCCACCATGCCTTCCATTCCTCCGGGGTCGGCAAATTGGTGCCAGACTTTTCTAGGAGTGTAGCAGCACTGGCTCGATACAACGATAGGCCACTACGAGTAAAGGCCAGATATGCATTCAATCACCTCCAACGATACTCGATGAAGTCGAATGCATGGCGCATCCCTCAGGGATTGATCAACACCGAAAGCTTTGTTCTTTTATACTTATGTTCCGCGAATGCACTGAAAGTGGACGGCATTGCATAGGAAGTACTTCCGGGGCGTTGTGGAAACGGTGAAGTGGAGAAGGTATGCAACACACTTCAAGGAATTATGTAATAAGAAGAAAAAATACATTTTTCGGCTGTATCTTGTATTACATCAGGAAGCGGCTGATTATCACCTGGTCAGCAACGGGAGCCAGCTTGCATGTAATCAATTAGCACGACGCTAGGGTTGATGGCGTTTGTGATAACTGCGTCTTGCCTGACGAGGGCGAATTGATGTTGCAACCAGCGGATTGTACGACGCCGCCACGCACACGCTGGCGGCCGGCGGCCGTTAATAGTGATACATGGGTGGGGGGATCCCGCGACCAAGAAGGCGGGACCACCATGGTGGGGACCGTGCACCGCACCCCAGCATTGACCCGTGCGGTTGGTCTCTACGTGACATACTTAGTGGAAACATAGAAAGCGGTGAGTGTGCAGAGCTGTGTTCAATGTTATTGAAATCTTGGTTCAGAGTTTCTTTGTTAGGTTATAGAGGTGTCTGGCCGAGCAGATTGCTATCAACTTGACCTTTCCAGGCTCTGAGTAAGGCGAAATCCGCCGA